GTAGTTTCGTCGTTTGCTTATATTATAGAAGAATTAACGATTGTCACAGAAAGAACTTAAAGAGAATTGTGTCGTGACTCATATTTTCTCTTTACATTTATAGAGTTTACGATATCATCTGATGTGTGGTCTCTGAGTGTGAGTGTCATGTAAAATAATAGTTCTGTATATTTACTATTATTTTTAAATGATGCAAAGCTAGTACTTTTGTTGTTATAGCAAAACATCTAAAATATAAGCCTAATTTACAGACAGAACGTCCATCATAGCTATGCATGCATCAGACATCTTCAACATCGGTGAAACGCATTTCAATTAAGCGATACAATTAGAGTTACCCCGACCGTATATACACTTATCAAAGCGAGTCACATAGATTTTTATAGTAATATATTCTCACATTTATTACCACTACAAAAAATAAAATCCTACGAATAATATATATATATGAAATAAAAGTTGAATTCTTTAGCTTTCACACGACACTACAATTTAGTGATAAGTTGAGTTCAATAGATTAATTCTTTTTCTTCAGATATATTTCTATTGAACAGTTTACTGGCCAGATTGAATGGAGTTTTAAAAGAATATTTTCTAAGAGTAAATATTATTGAACGATACAGTGTTATGATGAAATCGTTTAATAAAAAGCTATCTAAAGAAACAAAATTCTTGTAAAAATCCATCTGATCTTATCAATAAATTATTCAATAGAAATACATTTATAACGATATTTTGACTGAAGAATGAGATTTTTCATAGTGTAAATCAGTGACTGAATGGCAGACAATGTGAGAGAAAATGTCTTTTACGGTCGTATACTCTCGATCATGAAACGACGAAGTACGGTGATAATTTATACCGCATATGACCGTTTACGACTATCATAATGCTCATCCTAGGACAGTAACTTGATTCTACTCTCTAATGGAGTTTTTTTTGAAAACCTGAGCTAAAACGACTAACCTATTCTTATTGGACTTGTTCCAGATACAGAGTGCATGATTTATGATGAGATTCAGTATGTGATCGATACAAGAAAAATGAGGACCGAAATCCCCAAAGCCCGTTGCTGTTTTTATACCAGTGGAACTGTCGGTTGTAATTCCAGCATGTAAACAAATTTTTAATTCAAATCGGTTTAATTCATAGACAATGAATTCGTTCAAGTGTTTGCTCAACTTTCAATCCGTCAAACGACGAAATGATAGAAGAAAATAGAGAGGCTTTATTTCGCCATTGAAAACATGAGCAGTGAGACATATGTAATAGTGTTTTGTTGAACTTTTTCAGACGTCCGTAGTGTAAGCAAACGAAAAAGCTTTCGGCAGAAGTTTCTTGACTTCATTGATGTTAAATAACTCGTCATACCATGAATAATACAGTTTAAAAGTAGACCATCAATTTAATTACGACGCTCTCTATTCACAATTGAATGACTCACCGAAGATTTTGTCGTTTTTTCATCAAAAGATGAATTGATATCATCATCAGTCTGATGTCGAATAGCAAGATGATGGCGAAGACTAAATGTTGATGTTCCATAGGTCGTCTTTAACTACGAGAAGGAAAAGAGAAATTAGTATCTTGATTTTTTAGAAGAATACGTGTATAAGTCATATTGAAGTTGCAGCTTCAACGTTAACTTTTGAGGCACTGACAACTGTGGCGAAAAAAATTTATTAATGTTGCTTCCATTCAACTAAAAAACAAATAAATATCAATGAGTTTCTGATATTAAAAACAATATATATATGGAGGTTGTTTTTTCATTTGTAAAACTTATATATCAATTTTTACAAGTACACATAGAAGAGATTATTCCGAAAAACCAAATGTTATCTTCTGTCTAGGGTTGGATACGACCTTTAATTTCCATGAATTCTATAACGTAGATCAATCATACATTCTTTTCTACCTTTTGAAAGATTATTTTATTACAGTTGTATTTTTCCTAAAAATCAAGAGTAATGATGCTACTTGTCGAAAAAAATACAGGTAAAGCAGGATAATTGTAGAAATAAATAGGGCAAAAAATATGATTGACTTATATTATAGGATTTTTACGAATTACGGTCTAATCCAACCCCGGCTTTCTGCTAATACTTGATATGATTATAGATCTGTTCTTAGGACACTAAGATCTGTATGATGTGGGTGTAACTCTTCTATTCAGTCACAACCACACCTACACCCGCTCACTGACTGGTTTAGAAGTGAGCAACAGTGTCCGGCATGGGTCAACTTTTTGTGGTCCGACCCGATTCTGCAACAAGTTCTCATTTTGTAACCCGACACGACCAGGGCCTAGAAAAACATATTTTTGAGAATTAATTCAAATTTATCCCGTTTAAGAACAAAATCAATTTGTAATCAATTGTAGCCAACTAGGGTTTTAGTTTGTTTTCAGCGTTCTATTTTATATATTTTTCTTTTCTTTTATTACATTTGATTTGATTTGATTTTCTTGGTTGAGCGCAGAAAAAAGAATGTCATTTATTACGTCCGGAGAAATGTTGAATCGCCGTTCAGAAATAACTTGACCGACCGCACTAAATGTGCGTTCAACACTTGCCGATGTTGCTGGCACAGTTAAACTTTGAAAGGCAACTATTGTCAAAGATGGAAAAGAGTCGGACACCGCCTTCCAAAATTCATGTATATTGTTTGTGTTTGTTTCCCGGTGGTCAAATTTAAGATAACGAGTTACTTCATCTTGTTTTCGAGATATTCGTGGATTGTCGACATATCTTGATAGATAATGACAATTGTCATGTTCATCATCGCTATCACTCTCTGTTGTTTCTGACGAAGCAACCGATTTTGCAATGATTTCTAATCGTTTTCTGAGATATTTTTGAGCTTGAGTTTGTTCTTCTTTGGTTTCCTGCCGCAAGGTACGATAATTGGGATTCAACATGGCGGCTGCAAAATGTATATCTTGTAATTCAATTTTACTTTCGAGGATAGTCGTACATTTATTCTTTAAAAAGCAAGTACCGATGAATCGACTGTTGTCGGTTTAAGTTCATCCCTTAAATACCAAATACATGGAACAACCATGGGCAATGTAGGACGATCCTTCGTTTGAAGGTCGACGATAACCCGTCGAAATGGTTCGAGGAACCAGATGAGGTCCTAAGAAATAATATGCAAGTTTCAAAAATAGAAGAAACTTTCTCATAGTTGTCATTGGAGCACACAGCTATTGAATGTACCTAGGATGAGTAGAACACGAATTTCTCCTCTGATTAACTTAAAAACCCTAACTGTAATTTAACGAAATATAGGTCTTACTTTAAATAATTTTCGATCTATTGTTCTGATGTATCGAACCATCTTTTTAAACTTATTGATGGTTAAAGCTACTTCACATAATGGATCGATACATTGATCATCAAATTCGTTATTGGATTCACCGGAATCAGTTTCATCGGATTCTTCTTTCCTTTTCCTTTTTCTGGTAGATTAAAATGTATCAGCATCAACGGTTTTGGACACTAGGTTTACATCAAAAAGATTAATAAATCTTAAAATTTTTTACTTAGATAGGTCTCTTACAGATGAAAGTGTCTAGGAGAACATTATGTATCCGATGAACCATACAGTTCACAATCTGTTCTCTTGACAGAGCTGCTTTCAAATTTGAACCACGATCAATAATGAAAGCTGCTGATTTTCGATACTGTTGAACATCGAATTTGCTGAGAACAGCATCAATTAATTTGGATACATTCTCTGCAGACTTCTTTTTGATATAAGAACTCACAACAGCATAATTCAATAGTGTGTATAGTAGAATCTTTCATAAAAATAGCTGTCATACCTATAAATACAATGTGAATACATTCAATCACGTAAGAGAGATTTTTTTAATACCTAACTATGCTTGCTTTTTTATAACAATCTGTCCAAAGTTTCGGACTAAAAGCAAGCTCACCACGAGATTCTGCTGCTGCTAAGAGAGAGGCAACTTCTATTCGAGCAATTTCAGCCAGGCTTTGGACACGTCGCTTGACGATATTGGCGCAAGGCAAAATCTTTTCTGCTGTTATTTTTCCAGCAACTGAATGCCCATAGCGAGCACCAATATTCAACAAAACTTGCGACACCATGATAGACTCAGGATCTTCGACACATTGAAATGGGCGAATACTGGTTGCGCATCAGTTCGCGATAGAATCAACTAATTCTGTACGATGTGAATCTGATACAACTTTTTCTTCAATAGCCTACGAGAAAATAAACAATTTCCTCCAATACCTTGCTAATATGAATGATAGTAAAGATAGACATACTTCATGAAGCGTTGGTTGATTAGAATCTTTTTTCGAACAATTATGATCGGTAAGATTTTTCGTACCAGTACCATTAGAATCCGAACGAAATCCGAACGTAGTAAAACACACTTTGCAACTTGCAAAACCATCAATAATTTTAAATGCATTAGTTGTTTCATCTATAATTTCAGCTGGTAAACCAAATGTTGACCAGCATGAACTTGTAGCATTCTTTGAATTGTAGTCTTTGACCACATATTTGTCTGGTTCAGAGATGGGCGAGTCAAGTCAAAAATGACTTAAGTCAAAGTCAAGTCAAGTCATTTTTGACTTGCTTGACTTGACTTGAAATTTTTTTTTAATGACTTGCGACTTGACGTGACTTGACTTTGATTTTTCATTTTTTGACTTGACTTGACTTGTGACTAGACAAAAAAATACAAGTCAAGTCAGCTATTCTTTGCAACTTCAATGCATATTAGATTCTCGTCAGGTTATATTTGGCCTAGGCGTATAAAATAAGGTCCCAAACAGACTAGACGAATAAACAATGAATTAAAAATTCATTGTTTATTCGTCTAGTCTGTTTGGTCTTACAAAAGACACTGTCTGACATCGACATTCTCGAGTATATAAGCAATTATACGGCTGAGTGTACATCACACGTGACCTATTGTATTAAACTGGTTAAATCAATTACAACTTGTATTACAACTGAATATGAGCGATTTAATTTCACAAGTTGATAGTCATCTTTCACATGATTCTCCAGATGTGTGTGTATTATCAATTGTTCCAATACTTTCCTGTACATTGGCTGATTCAACTGAAACAACATCAGAAACTACTGATAGTATTCCAAAAACAATGCGAAATAAATTTTATGTAAATATAAAAACTTATGAATCAAAGTGGTCGGGTCAATGTATATTATGTAATAAAATTCAATATGATAGTAAAGGTGTAACATCCAACTTCAATCGACATGTAAAAACCCAACATAAACAAGAGTATCGAGAATGGTTTGCTCAGTTAAATCAATCTATTAACAAAGACCAGAAAAAAATATCTGACGTATTTATTAAAGATAATGAAACAAGAACATCACCATTCTCAAAATCTTATTATAATAATAATCATCCACGACAAACTCAATTATCTAAATCTATTGTAGAAAATCTTATCATTGATCTTGGTTTACCACTATCAATAGTTGAACGTCCCGCATTTATCAAATTCATGAATACAATAGATCCAAAGTTTACTATGACTTGTGACTTGACTTGACTTGACTTGGTTTAGAACACAGACTTGACTTGACTTGACTCGCAATGCCATATCCCAAATTGATGACTTGACTTGACT